TGTTGTTAACTACAACATACAACGCGACAAGTGAGACATAGAAAAGCTCATTGCAATGTGTGTTTAAGAAGAGAAAAGGCTGAAGTCCTTACAGGGTGACTCTGCTAACCTTGTCAAGGACAAGAAAAAGAACTTCAATAAGAATGCTAAACCTTAAGGAAAAGCCCCTCAGACTGAGCACCATCCGAAGAACAACAATACTCAAGTTGAAAATGATCAGTGCAAATGGTGCAAGAAGCATGGACACTACTAGAGGGATTGTCTAGACTTTCTGAAGAGCCTACTGAAGAGAGGTGAGGATTTCATTACATTCATAGATGAATCCTTGTATATAAGTTATGTAAAATGTACTTGGTGGATTGATTCAGGTGCAACTGCTCATGTTGCAGATTCATTACATGGATTTCGTACGAGGAGGACCCTGCAAAGAGGAGAAAGAAGAATTAAAGTAGCAAATAGAGTTGAAGCTCAAGTTAAAGCCATTGGAGATCTTTCTCTAGGATTAGTTGATGGTTTTCTACATAAGCTTTCAGATGTTCTATTTGTATCCTCTTTGCGAAGAAACTTAATAAGTGTGTCACATTTAGATGACAATGGATATGATTGCCATTTTGGTAATGGCAAATGCCAGATTGTTTATAATAATAAATGTGTTGGTCTTGCCTTCCGACAAGACAACCTTTATTTGTTATCACTTTCTAAGAATGTGAATGATGTAAGTACTGAGAATGAGAATGCTTCCTCATCTATGAATGCAACAAATAAGCGGAAGAGAGTACATGATGTATCTTCAAAATTATGGCACTGTCGTTTAGGCCATATTTTAAGGGGGAGAATAGAGCGATTGATTAAGAAATCAATTCTGCATAGATTGCATAAAAGAAAAATATGTTAAGAAAATAAAGAAAGATGCTAAACGAAGCGCATGAATTTTAGAAATAATCCATACAGATATATGTGGTCCTTTTCCTGTGAAGAGTGTGGATGGTTATGATTCATTTATAACATTCACATATGACTATTCTCGTTTTGGCTATATTTATCCAATTAAAGAAAGATCGGAAGCATTGGATAAATTCAAAATATTTAAGGTTGAAGTAGAGAATCAGCACAACTTAAAAATTAAGGTAGTAAGGTCTGACCATAGGGGAGAGTACTACGGTCGACACACCCCATATGACCAAGTTCCTGGACGCTTTGCAAGGTACTTACAGAAAAATAGCATAGTAGCTCAGTATTCTATACCGGGCGAGCCTCAACAAAATGGAGTAGCTAAAAGATGCAACCGTACCTTAATGAATATGGTGATAAATGATAAGTTATTCTACCTTACCGATAAGTTTATGGATGGAGACGTTAAAAACCGCTATTCATATTCTTAATCAAGTGTCAAGTAAGTCGGTGCCCAAAACACCGTATGAGTTGTGGACAGAAAAAGAACCCTCACTAAACTATTTACATGTGTGGGGTTTGTCCTACTGAGGCAAAAATATTTAACCCAAATATGGGGAAGCTGGACTACAAGACAGTCAGCTGTCATTTCATTGACTATCTAGAAAAATCAAAAGGTTATCGCTTCTATTGTCGTGACAGACAAACAAAGTTTATAGAAATAAGACATGATGTCTTCTTGGAGGATGATATGATCAGGGGGAGCATGGTAGCGTGAGAAATTAGTTTTGAAGAGAAGCATGCATACGTGCCCACTCCTATGGTTTAGGAACAATTTTCACGCTACCTGTTGTTGCTGTACCAACAGTGCAAGACACTATAGTAACCGCACATGTTGTTAGTTCTTCTGTGGCAACAATAAATGAACATGAGGAACCTGTCCTTTAGGATCCCATAGAACCCGTTGTCACACATGAGAAAGATCAACAATAGCCTCATATAGAACAAGCGTCATCTAACGAGGCCCCTAGAAGGTCTCAAAGAGTAAGGAGACCAGCTATTCCTGATGATTATGAAGTTTATGAAAGTGAGGAATTTTAAATGGAGGGTGGTCCCACCTCATTTGAAGAATCCATGAGAAGCGCTCACTCATCCAAGTGGCTTGAAGCCATGGAAGATGAAATGAAATCAATGAAAACCAACGGAGTTTAGAACTTAGAAACAATTCCTAAAGGAGCCAACACAGTAGACTATAAATAGGTCTATAAAACTAAACATGACTCCAAAAGAAGTATAGAAAGGTTTAAAACGTGACTTATGGCAAAAGGTTTCAAGCAAAAAGAAGGCATAGATTACAATGTGACATTTTCTCTAGTCTCATGTAAGGATTCTTTTAGAATCATAATGGTGCTTGTAGCACATTACGACTTAGAATTACATCAGATGGATGTAAAGACGGCGTTTCTAAATGGGGATTTGGAGGAAAACGTTTACATGGCATAACCGAAAAGGTTTTGTTGTGGACAAAAAAGAACGCATGGGATGCCCCCTGAAGAAATCCATTTATGGATTAAAGCAAGCTTCAAGACAGTGGTTTTTAAAGTTTGATAGTACAATAAGAAAGTTTGGGTTTTAAGAAAATATAGAGGACAATTGCGTTTATGCAAATTTCAAAAATGGGAAATACATTTTTCTAGTCTTGTATGTGGATGACATCTTGCTCACTAGCAGTGATGTTAGTGTACTACTAGAAACAAAGAAGTTCTTGTCCTCAAAGTTTGATATGAAGGATCTCGGTGCAGCTTCGTTCGTCCTAGGAATAGAGATTCACCGGGATAGAGAAAATGGGGTTTAGGATTATCACAAAAGGCATATTTAGAAAAAGTTCTAAAGAAATACATTAAGCAAAATTGTAAGTCATCACCTGCTCCCATAGTCAAGGGCGATAGATATGGAGAATTTCAATGTCCCAGGAACCAATATGAGATCAATCAAATGAAAGTGGTTCTATATAGTTCAGCTGTCGAAAGTTTACAGTATGCTCAAGTGTGTACTCGCCCTGACTTAGCATTTGTTACCGGGTTGCTTGGCAGATATCAGAGTAATCCAGGAATAGAACACTGGAAATTAGTAAATAAAGTTTTAAGGTTACCTACAAGGTACGAAGGGTCTCATGCTAACGTACAGATTCTGATTATGCGGGAAATGAAAGAAAGTCCACATCAGGGTACATATTCACTCTCGTAGGAGGAGCTATATCGTGGAAAAGCTCAAAGCAAACCGTCACTATATCGTCCACAATATATGCCGACTTTGTAGCATGTTATGAGGCCATAGGGCAGGTGAATTGGCTAAAGAAATTCATGCCCGGTTTGAAAGTGGTAGACGACATACATAAACCACTTAAGTTATACTGCGATAATAATCCAACAGTATGTTATGCTCACAACAATAAGTCAAGTGGTGCTGCCAAACACATTGACATAAAGTATTATATTGTGAAAGATAAAGTTCGGGATCATATAATTAATCTTGAGCATATAAGAACAGAAAAGATGCTCGTGGATCCGCTTACAAAAGGCTTACCACCCAGTGTATTCAGAGAACATGTAGCCGGCATGAGTTTAAGGGAAAGCCTATGATTCCTGGATAATAAGAGTCTAGTTAAGAACCTGTTTCAAAGCAGAGAGGTGCATTGTAGCTGTTTAATCTAATAGCAAGAGACCATGACGATGAGGCACGCTCTATGCACTGATATGTGATGGAATGGGAACAAGAAAAAGTAAGTAAGTTAAGTTTAAGTTATAAGTGGGATCAAGGGGAAGAATGTTAGTTGATCTCCACCAATAGGCCCAACGACCTATTGGGCCCTTAGATCCACGTCCTGATCGGGGGTGCCCAACCCTAATATGGTTGGTGGGACCCCATCAAACAAGGCCATAAATAGGAGGTGGGGGGCCGGGGCGCTCGAGTCCTGAGGTTCGCCCGAGCCACCTAGCACCCCACCTACAGTCCTAAACCCTAACCGATCATAGAGGGGGCGTTGCCAGCGATGGGAAGCGCCGCCACCGCCTCTACATCATGCCGGAGGACTGCTACGATGCCGGGCTGCCCTGCGACCTCTACACTGACCCCGGACGACACCACTACAGCACCGCCACCGGGTTATCGCCAAGCACTGCGATGGCGAGCCCATCTTCCTCCAAGGCGGCCGATGGTTTGCACCCCTTCACCTCTCTCTCTCTCGTTCTATCTACTGTTACTACATTAGTAGATGTTTTAGGACTCGCGGTTTTGTTTAAAAGCAAGAAGACTCGCTAGATCTATGGATATTGATCCTGTTTCGGTTATGAGAGAAAAGCTGTTTGTGCTCTGGAAAACACATTAATGCAGCTGAACCTACCACAATATTTTCATGGATCAAGATCTCTTCCATGTAAATTTCTTTTGTTGTTCTCATGAACTCTTGACATATCATTTTCAAATTGCAGATACCGAAATACTTCCTTGGATCGTAAATATAAGCATCTAGGTTTGTCCTAAGTTAAACTTTTTGAACTTTCACCATCAAATCTAATTTTTTGTATAAATTGACAAAACAAGATTGGCATTACTAGTTTCACCTTGAAAATACTTTCATAATATATGCTCTTTACACTTTTTCAATGATAATATACCTTTATAGACGAAGTTAGAAAAGTTTGACTTTGGACAAACCTACATGGACTTATATTTGTGATCGAAGGAAATAGCAATTATAGATAATAACCAAGTATTCTGTTGATATGAGGCTAAATGGTTTGAAGAATTCTAAGAAAAGCACTGTAGAATTTGACTAAAAAAGGGTGGTTCCTTGCAATCAGAAGGTGGAATCTAAGTAGGATGCCTCTAACAGTATATCCTATGTACATAACTGATTGAACAGTTGTGGATTTCCATGGAAAAAATTGTTCCATATTTTTACAATATGCGGTCCATGTTTTTTTTGTCGGAGTTGTGTTTACTGCGCCCCCACCCGCTTTCTATTACTATATTGTGTTACATGTTTTTATCCTCAAAAGGAAACAGAAATCTTACTATATTATGCTTCTTACGGCCTGTGCTGACAGATGGTTAAGATTAGAGATCCTGAACAGCAGCTTGAGATGGTGGGTGTCCCTGAAGAACACATTCAAGGCCATGCATTCCATCTGTATCGTCTCACTTCTCCTGATGACAGGTAATAACCATTCTCCTGAAAATTGATGATACCGCCAATAAAGTAATTATACTCAATCATGGATATTTTTATAGTCTTGCTAATACATCAGAGCAATTTGAAGCATGCTATTTTTTCATCTTTGTTGATTTAATCGTGTTCTTTTAGTGTTTCATTTGAGTTCCAGCACAATGTTTGTGGTCGTTCGATCTACGCTGAAGGAACTATTGATGCTGCAATATTTCTGCATAGGAAGGTTGGCTGATGTGTTACTTCGGTTATTTTTTTAAAAGTGGTGCTGCGTTTCAGATACTGCTGGTATCTTACATTCTTACTCGTATTCTTTAATGTAGGTACAATCAAAGGACTCTTAAGAGAATATATAATATGGATGATGTCCCGAGAGAAGGATACATGCGATAAAGTCTACTGATTAGCTGTTCATAAATAATATGCAGCACAGTATTGTTTTTTGTTAGTCTATGGGTTAGATATTAATAGAGTTGTGTGCGAATTAAATTAAAAGATTATGCACTAAGTTCTTCAAGTTTCTATCAAAACAAAAAACATATGAAAAAGAGAACATACATAAAAGGTATATAAGTTTGTTTTAAGGTCAAAGAGGGATCAACTTACTGTTCTAGAGGAAACATACATAAAAGGTGTATAAGTTGAAGTTTGTTTTAAGGTCAAAGAGCAATCAACGTAGTGTTATAGTAACGGAGCAAATTCATGAATTGTCATATTTATCATCTTTTTGTTCATCTATTCATGTCATGTCAGCTTATTTAATGCCATAAAACCCTCATAAAATTTTCATTGACAAACTCGCATTGAGACTGCCCTTACACTCTCCTCTGGATAAAATCTCCATGAGAGTTTGGTTTCATGAAGTACTGCACACCACTTTGATGTTTGGACGTTCATATCATTCTCTAGTTCAGTACGTAGATACCATGGAACAACATGTTTCTATACTGAGAGACTTTTGCAGCAGTTGTTCAGGGCAGAGTCTAAATTAGATGTTCCACATGTAATCTGATCGTCTTGATGAGTGCTATGCAATAGTGAACTCCATTTGATCATCTGAGATCAACTCTAAAATCGCATCGTTTTTTGTCGCTAAGATATTAAAGTGTTGTGCATTGCCCACCTTTACCCATTTTAGACTTTCGGGTAATTGGGTTGAATATGCGAGGTTCAATAGGAAAAATAACATGCTTCTGTTGATTGCAGTCATAATTTAATATTCCCAACTTCTTGCAGAGCTCTACTAAATAAAAACAGTTCACAGGAAGTTACACAAGGTTCAACTATCCCCAATAGATAGAATAGAACACACACTCTTAGACTGACCCAACCTTCATGCTGAACTTATCAATGTCACAGCCTTATTCTGAGGAAACTGCATAACCTGCAAAAACCAAGAAAACACTGACCAAACATTCTAGTGCTGAGTCTCCACCGCAGCAGGAGGAAAGAAAGGCAACAGCTTCTTGAAGAACGGGAGCAGCTTCTTGAAGAGCTACGGGCCAGTGACAGCGTCGCGCTGCGCCGGCGGGTGGTAGATGGGGGTTGGCTTCGGCGGCGAATACACCGGCGGCGTCGACGGCGCGGTGGGCGTCGACGGAGGCTTGTGCTCCGGCACGGGCACCGGCGCCGGTTTGTGCTCAGGAACGCCTACCGCCGGCGGCTTATCGGTGACAGGCGGAATGGAATGGCCGTGGCCGTGATCAGGCAGGTGAGGAATAACCACAGGCGTGTGGATTCCTACGTGATGGTGATGGTGCATAACGCTGTGGAAGAAAGGGTGGCAAAGGAAAGCCGAAGCGCACTCGGGCGACGAGCGGTAGACCTTGCCGCCGAGCGCAACGAACGTCTTCTCGGTGCCGTCGTGGCCACCGGGTGGCGCCGCGACCGCGACGATCTTGGACGGCTCCTGCCCGGGGCACGGCGCACTGTCCACCGTTGTCTGACGACGCAGCTCGATCGCGTGAAGTTAAGTGAAACTAGTGAAGGGCCGAAGGCAACCTTGGCCAGCAGCCAGATAAATTGGGCGCCGCCTTTGTAGATCTACAGTTAATATGGCCCCTTGCAATGTGAGCAGCGTTTCCTTGGAGTCTACTCCTCCACGCACCGTAGCGCACGTGCATGTGGTCTGGTCATTGGCACACTGTCCACCGTTGTCTGACGACGCAGCTCGATCGCGTGAAGTTAAGTGAAACTAGTGAAGGGCCGAAGGCAACCTTGGCCAGCAGCCAGATAAATTGGGCGCCGCCTTTGTAGATCTACAGTTAATATGGCCCCTTGCAATGTGAACAGCGTTTCCTTCGAGTCTACTCCTCCACGCACCGTAGCGCATGCACCTGCATGTGGTCTGGTCATTGGCACACTGTCCACCGTTGTATGGCCTTGCTCAAAAGTTGATCGATGTGCGAAATTCTTGAAAGCCAGAGAGTGAGGGACCGATCACCATTTTTACACTGAACTCGGTGAGATTTTATACGTACACACTAGCGACAATCATATTCCATGGAGAGAGTGAACTCTGCCGTTAGGTTACGTTGTGCTACTGCCTGCTGCCACTATTCTCTGCTGTGGAAATTCTTGGCCTCTGTTCAATTCCAACGCCACCTAGCACCTAACCTGGCAGTTCCAACTTACATCTGGATAACAAACACAACGGCACCACACCATGTTGCTCTCGATCGAGCCGAGACGGCGAGACCCCAGCTGCCGCGCGCGCCTTCGAACCAGGTGGCACTCGACAATTCTCGGCAGGCAGGCAGGACCGCGTGACGGGTGGTGGATGTAAGGAAATTTTGTTGTTTGATGACCAACACAACTAAATTGGACTAATGAATTTACAAGTGATTGTTTTGTAGTTCAATAGGATGCAAGACGTAACTTGGACAAAGGCGACGTGATGATCCGATGATCAACACATCAAGCAAGACCTTAGGAGTATAAAAGAAGACCCAAGATATCAAGTAAAGTCCAAGCATAAAGATTGGAGCCAAGCCGCACGCAAGTTCGCGAAGAAACGAGCTCACAACAGCGACCAGACGTTGGACCGGACGCTGATGAAAAGCGACCGGACGCTCCGATCAGAGGCTCGGCAACAGCAGCAACGACCGGACGCTGGACCGGACACTGGCGGCAAAGCAACTAGACGTAGGACAGCAGCGTCCGATCGAGTACAACCACCGCTTATGCGCTTGCTCTATGTTTAGTCCTTGTGTTTAGTGAGGTTTGCATACCTCTTACCACTCGGTGCTTGTGCGCACCATTGTTGTACATCGGAGGGGCTTGTAGTCTTGCGAGATCACACCAACCGCGTTTGTGGTGTGGCCGCCACCGTGTACCGGAGGGAACAAGGCCAAAAGCTTGATAGCGAAGACGGCGGGGAGCATCCAGGAGAGGCTTGTTGGAAGGCACGTCGGAGACCCACTTGCGCGTGGGGAAGGCCCGAGTATCGACGAAATATGGTCGGCAGTCTACCTAGGGGTATGCCCAAGGTAGTAGATTATCGGCAGACAGGTGCGCAAGCTACGAACGAGATGGTGACGCAAGACAGATACGAGGTTTTATCCAGGTTCGGCCGCCGTGAGGGCGTAATACCTACATCCTACGTCTGATTGTATTGCTGTATGTAAATGAGATTATTTTTTAGAAGGGTCCCCTACCCGCCTTATATAGTCTGGGGGGTAGGGTTACAGATGTGGAAACTAATCCCAACCGGTTACAATTGCCATAGGTGGCCGGATAAGGATTTCTATTCTAACCGACTAGGACCTTGTTTGATCTCTAAGTCTGCCTTGATTCCTTGCACGGGACTACGAGCAGATCGTCTGGGCCGCGCGTCGTCTTCTGGTGGGCCGGACCCCCTGGTCTGGGCCGGCCCAAACCTAACCGTAAGGGTATAAGGGTTAATACCCCCACAGCTAGTCCCCGAGCACCATGTATTATGTTGCGACACGCTGTTTGATCTTCTTCGGCTAATGCGGTCTGTCTTCATGTCATCTCCAACTGGTTGAAACATTGACCAAGCAAATGCGCCAGTATTCTGGTCAGTACAGAGAGCAGTAGACCACGATTATAGCCGAAGATTCCGGTTGTCCGAAGAATGCATGGTGCTCTAAAGAAAAAACAAAAAAGATTTTTTTCCTGATCAAGTGTGCCCACTTGTATTTCTGAAAAGAATTGTAAGTGACCCTTGTACAGGAGTAGTTATGGCCAACAGTCAGAGCGTAGGGGTCGATAAAATAAGCACATTCATCGCAAGGTGAAGTTTGCCCACTTAGTCCCCGAGCCTGATAGTAGGTGATGTAGGCACGTGGTGCCATGGTCTAAAAAAGAATTCCCAGTTAAGTTGAGAATCCAATCATCGTACAGGCGATACGAGCTGCACTGACAGGTGCATCGTACCGATGTAGTCCCTGAGCTTGCTGGAAGGTGAGGTATGAGCCTTGTAGCAAGGTCTAAGTGAGAAAAAAATATCCCAACTGTATGCGAGTAGCCAGTCGCATGTAGTCGAGACACGAAGTCCCCAAGCTATGGTCGGAGAGTGGTCGAGGCAGTCTCCGAGCACAGGTCGAGGAGTGAGCAACGAAGTCCCCGAGCTGTGGTCAGAGAGTGATCGAGGCAGTCCCCGAGCGTAGGTCGAGAAGCGAGCGACGAAGTCCCCATGCGTAGCTCAAAATTCCTGCAATATAAATATGTAGAATGGTTGTACATGATGTACAAAATAATAAATTATGGAGAAAAAATCAGCGGTGAAGAAATAGCGTATGACGCTCAGCAGTCATTTGCAAATAAGCATGATGTGATAAAACAGTTGGTGCTTTGTAAACATCAGTTAGAATATGGTCGGGATAGAGCGACAGTGTTTGTGTCGCCACCCCCTGGAGTAGAGTGGCCACAAGGAGCTGATCCCACCACCCAGACCAGCGTCGAGATTGAGGACGAGGACGTCGACTGGGCGGAGCTCGGAGCTAGAGAGGAGGCAGCGGCCAAAGCTGCTGGTAAGCGACCGGCTGCCCCCAAACAGTCGAAGAAGAGATCAGTAACCACCCTGCTCATCGGGGGAGCGCTAAGTATCAATGAGCCCAAGGAGAACCCGGCCAGCAAGCGTCTGCAGGCGATTTTTGCTTGGCCAGACGATGACGCAGAGGAGGGAGAAGATGCAGAGACCTTTCAACTTGTCCCTCGAAAAAGGAGGAAGCAACTGGAGTCGATGGAGCAAGGTGGGTCCTCCGTGCCTATAGGACCCACATCGCCGATGGCGGTGAAGGATGCAGCCGGGTCGACCTCAGGAGTACCTAGGCAAGGAACGCGACCGGCGACGGGAGCGACAACTCAACCGAGCATGCCATCGACCATTGCAACGCCAAGGACAAGTGGCGGAGGGGTCGAGCACCAAGGCCCAGCGACAGTGCTTGATGTAGAGGGAGACCAGGGGTCATCCGCACAGCACGTGGAGCAAGTACGGCCGAGGAGACGCGCCTTCTCCACATCATTCCGTGTTTCCAACATGTAAGTATTTATAACCTTGATATAAGTTAGCAATTTACATTTAATATGATTGCTTTCTGTACTTATCTCAGATGTATTAGCTCGGCGTCCACAAAAAGTCCGGACTAGCTAGCCGGAAGTGGTGTGGCGCCGCCAATAAGTACAGAGCAGACTACCCAGCAGCCGACCACCGAGGAAGCCATAGTAGAAGATCCGTCGGGGCCTCTACAAGCGAGCAGTCAGACAACAGTCCCCGAGCAGGTGGTCGAGGGACCAGCCAAGCCGGGCACGAGTGCTTCGAGCGCTAAACCTGCTGAGGGCAACACCTCAACGTCGAGGGTAACAGGGCATACCGAGGAGCAGCGGCCGGAGGTGAGAGCACAGACCACATTTACCGACGCTGCAGCTCGTGGGAAGGCTATGGTGATCACAGATGCTGCTGACGCCAGGCTAGCATCAGGACCCGAAGAAGAGCCCAAAGAGGACGAGGTGGAGGAGGTCCTGGGCCATCTGCAAGACAAGCGGCAACATGTTTATGTGTCGCGTTGGTGGAACGACCAATGGGTTATCCATGAGGAAATCCCGGAGGTCGAAGAAACCAAGAAAGTTGAACGGGCGGCGAAGCGGCTTGTTACGGAAGTGCAGGTAAGCTTCGCTTCACCCCCCTGGTCTTGCGGTCTAGTTGTAGTTGTCTTACTTAGCTATCTGCACACATGACTTAATGAAGACCGCAAGGTACCGCAAGAAATGCTTCGACCAGATCGAGGGGATCGTTGCAAACAACAAGGAGCTGACGGCGGAGGTGGACTGCTTGTGCCAGCGACTTGAAGCCGCCGATCATGAAAAGACAGTGCAAGATTCCCAGAACCAGAACATGGTCATCCAGCTCAGTAAGAAAGAGCGGGAAAGAACAAGTAAGTAGCCATTTTATCATACCGACTACTGACAAGTGATGTTGCGTTGTTGGTATTAACAGCTGTAGTGCAGGTTTAGAAGCTGAAGTGATTCGTCTTCGAGAGGAGAACAGTCGTGTGGTCGGGGAGTATGATCGCCTAAACAAGGACAACAAAAAACTGGTGCAAGACCAGTCGTAGCTCCAGGACTACACGACCAAGATGACAGAGGAGCTGAAAGGTAAGTTGTCCAACAGCCTTTGCTCATTTTTGTTGCCACCGTAGTTTGGGGTTGAAAGGACCTAGGATGTTGCCTAGAGGGGGGTGAATAGGCGTTTCTGAAAAATCAACACCTTTAAAAGCGGAAACGATTAGTAATAGGAGTTTCCAAAATGGAAACTCCAAATCAGAGTAATACCACCCCTCACAAGTTAGCCACAAAGTATATAAAAGATACTAGATAAACCTAGGGAGCCAAACAGCGGCAACCAAAGAGTTGAATCAAAATGCACTAGTCTGTTAATGTCGGAAGTCCCGACGTTTGGGTCAGAACTTCCGACGTGTCGGAAGTCCCGACGATTGGGTCAGAACTTCCGACGTGTCAGAAGTCCCAACAGTTTGAGTCAGAACTTCCAACGCAAACTGTCAGCACTTCCGACCCCTACGGGAAATGAACTACAAGTGCTAAAATGAACTTTGTGATGCCGATAACTTACAAACCCACTTCCTAGTGGTAAGGTAAGGTGTTGGGTCACTCTCTTGACGTTGATAAGCCACCAATCCGTAGATCGAGTCCCAAACCCTAAGAAATAGCTAGAGAGAGGGAGACAACTAAATACAAGTAATTTCGAGCAAATCACAACAACAACAAGCACGCGGGAGACAAGAATTTATCCCGAGGTTCGGCAGCCCCACAAAGGAGCTCCTACGTCCTCGTTGTTGAGGTGACCACTTTGGTCGGAGTCTCTTCCACCTCCTTGCCTCACTCAAGGATACCACAAAGGTCACTTGAGTTTCTTCACTAGAAAACAAGGGTAATACAAACTTCCCAAGGCTCTTCCACAAGATGGAAGCTCTTGGGCGATGCCTAGCCGGCTAGGGGAAAATCCCCAAGAGTAACAAATGCAAATCAAACCGGCTTGACGAAGAAATCAAGTGCTCAAGCTTGCTCAAAGTGTTTTTCTCACTCAATCCACTCTCCAATCACTCAAACCCTTTGGGAATCGAAGTTGGAAGCAAGGGAGTGAAGAGAGGGGAGCCTAGAATGCTTGGGGGCTGTTTGGCCGAGTG